ATTAAGTTTTCTCCAACATCCTTCACTCTCAGAGATGTCCAAATGCAATCTGGTGTAGTAGGCAATGATCTACTCCATATGTATAAACTGTTGTTTATTGCATTGATAGATCTAAATCACCAAAACGAGATGACAAGGAAAGAAAGAAAAGAAGTCCAACTCCGAGGCCAACAAAAGTGCACATTGGCAGGTTGACAAAGAATGTGACCAAGGTAATGGTTTTACTTCAGTTTGAGGTGAGCTACAGCCCCAGATTAATGGAGCTGTTGGGATTATTTGGGCATATGGCAATAGGACACTGTAGCTTTGGCCCACACAATGCATGGTGACTTGGATGGAAATGCTTTCTCTGTCAAGACTTTCTGCTTGCATGGTTTCTGTTATTAGTATTGACAGTTTGAGGAAATTTCTTCCTCTCCCAAGACACAAGGATTTTAACTACTCACTGACTTCTGAAAGCTTTGACACTTGCCAAGAGACTTCTTTCCATTGACCGACGAGGTAATTTAGTATCCACTGTGATGTTATGGGTGGCCACGGTTTCTTTCAGTACTCCCATACCTAACCATAAATCCTCACGGTATGATCACTGGTGCCATTGGAAGAAAAGTGAAAAGGAGTAGATTGAAGAGTTACTACATTGGGAATATGAGCTGCAGTCATGGGCAACTGCTTGCTTTTCTCTCTCCATGGGGTAGTGTTAATTCCTCTATGGTAATGTTTCTGGGCAGTAGACCTATATCTTGGTGCTTTTTGTTGTCACTGCCTACTCCACTGTATCTGCTGGAGGGCACCACAACTGGCAGAATGTGTAGGGAGGGGACAGGACAGGACTGGTTGAAAGAAGGAAAAGAAAATATTGTAAAAGTTTCAGTGCGGCAGCAGAAATGGGAAGAAGAGATGATGGCGAGGTTCATTGGTGAAAGGAAGTAGAAATCCTGTGGTTAAATATAGACCTAAAGGTGTCCAGGTTTCAGCTGGTATTTGGTTACGCGTAATGGTTAAGTACGTACTGACAGATCTTATTTAAGAGATGTATGATTTATCCTCAAATGATTTAACACTATTAAATGTCCTTAAACCAAACTTTGGGCTTACGAAGTGAGACATTAGTCAGCAGGTAATACAAGTAGATGCTTTGTTTGTCCACTGGATGGTGAGCTCTCGGGCCTGAAAGCGCTGTAGTTTGAGTGTATCTCTTGTAGGAGCTGTCTGGAATTTGGACAAAGCGGAAAGTAACTTGATGTAGTAGGTACTTTAAATGGAAAGTGTTCTACTGTTCCTCAACTCAATGAGCACAAAAGGGCTAAGAGATGGTGGTCTGTTTGAGTCCCATTGTCTCAGTTTGGCACTGCTTCAGTTTAAAATGGTAGCTCACCGCCACCCTCTCCAAGGTAATTAGGGATCAGTGTGAAATGCTGGGCCAGCCAGTGACAGCCACCTTCCATCTGTGAATTTTAAAAGGCTATGTGTTGTGAAGTGGGCTGAATCAACGTTCTTCTCTGAGCTTTGTGTACTCTAGTGCAGCAAGCCATGACTGTTGCTCTTTCTTTGCCACAGGAGCACATCATGGAGATCTTCTCTACATATGGGAAGATCAAACTGATAGATATGCCGTTGGACCGCTTCCACCCACACCTGTCCAAAGGCTATGCCTATGTGGAGTTTGAAAACCCGGATGATACAGAGAAGGCTCTGAAGCATATGGATGGAGGTAAAGCTAATGCAGAGATAGAATTCCATTGCATGACTTTAATTAGTGATAGACAGCCAACATTCAGCAGAATATGGTTGCATTAACTGACCACAATCATCAGTAAATGCTGCAGTAAATTCTCCTGTACACCAAAATGAGAGATTTGTAACTATCTTGTGCAGATGGGGACAACATCCCTGGAAATTTGTAGAGGATTTTAATTGTTGGATGATTATTCAGTTTCTTCCTCCCACAGCCTTGAGAATGTCAGCAGATACATAACTGGCTTGCAGTCCTCTTGCGGTTTGGTATGGTATGAGTTTGTTAGCTTTGCTCAATGTGTAAAGCCCTGAATGGGAAGCTGGTCGGCCGAGTCCAGACCTTGAGTTGGTGGTCCAAGTCTAGCTATGTTGCATTGGTGGGAGTGGAGGCATGCAGTGCTGCTGTTTTGGAGCCAAAGTCCTGGTTGCCCAATAAGATAGGTACAAAAATCCTACACCACTATTCAGAAAAGAACAGGAATTCTTGCCACTGCCCTGGCCACTGTTTTTCTCTCGTTTGGTGCACATGATTCGTGGATTTATTGGCATACCTTTGGGCAGCTTCAAGGTAGCATGTTTTGTAAATGCATAGGTTCTACTGTGTGTTGAGAAAGTTTTGTCTTTGTGCGTTTTGTGCAGGTCAGATAGATGGCCAGGAAGTAACTGCGACTGCCGTGTTGGCTCCTCGGCCCAGACCTTTGCCTCGACGAATGACACCGCCACGTAGAATGCCGCCACCTCCTCCCATGTGGCGCAGAACTCCACCACGAATGAGGAGAAGGTTAGTTATAAGATTAGTGTTTGAATGGTAATAGTCCTGTGGCGTGCAGGGGTGTTTGATTTTAAACATGCTCTACTGTGAGGTTGAGCTCTAGAATGGTGCATGGTTTTCTCGGTCACATTGTTACATAGAGATACAGAGCTGATTTAATGCTTGTCTTTTGACACAGGTCCCGTTCACCTCGCAGACGGTCACCAGTCCGCAGACGGTCTCGGTCACGATCACCAGGACGCCGGCGTCACCGTAGCAGATCCAGCTCTAACTCCTCACGATAAAGACTGTAAATTCTCTGGAGCTTCTGTTCCTAGGCTAGGCTAAATCTTGAAATGGAATCTCAAAAGTACTTTGGAAATTTACTGAATTTTCCCCATCTCTTACTCTGTTCAGGTTGTGTTTTACTTAATTACAAAACTTAAGTTTGGGGAAGGGGTGGGGGGGGTGGGTGGGCATGAGGAGAAATTCTGTATTTTAGATGGTCGCACATAATGTGTGCTGTGTTTGGGGTAGGATGGGGATGAAAGGGTACAATCCAGGACCACGCGACAATGTTTACTATGACTGTGTTGAATATGGGCAGATATGGAACACTACCCGGTCATCAAGACAGCAACCAAGACTCCAGATGCTATTGTTGATGGTGGTGCAGATTCCCTTTGTCAGATTGACCTCCAAAAAAAAAAAAAAATGCAGTGTTGTTGAGATGAAGTAGGTGGTACTCATGAGTTGCTCTGTTTTGGCAACGTGGGACTGGTTTGAGCTTTGCTTCATTCATGCAATCCAAGTTGAAAATGAATAGAGAAATAATGTTTGGGTTCAGATGTGAGATTTTATTCACGTACGGTGATGTTCTGCAGGAGTTGTGTATCGAGCAGTGACCCTGTCCAGTTGCTTTGGATTTTTGTATTTTTTTTAAGTTGAATCTTTTGCTGTATTTATACCATTTTTCTGTATAAGTTCTATACTTCAATAAACCAGGATCATTATCTGATAGTGAGTGAGGGCTTTATTATACAAAGTAAACCTGCAAACAGTCCAGCAAATTTAACACTGATGAAGTGAATCTCAAGGCGTCAGTGAGGCTCTTTAGTATCTGGATTTTAAGTTTCACTTTTCTGTTGCAAGAAATCAGAATTATGAGTTCATCTCAGTTAGGGTATTCTATGTTGCAGCAAGTTTCTAATTTAGAGAGAATGGTGGTGTGTACAGGGTACAGCAAAGGCCCTGACAATCATTCCGTGATAGTGCCGAATAGATGTACATCAGAGCTAGCCAGTTGTCCTGTATCTATGTTTAATTGAACAGTGATGCTTTAGCCACAAAAAAAAACAGGCTATTGTAACACAACTTGTGTTTAAATGGTAAAATGATTGACAGAATGATAAATATTGCCATGAAGTAATCTAATGACTCCAATTTAGATCTGAATCTCTAGAGAGAGGAATGGCATGGCTGAGTGTGCTCGAATCTCTTGCCTGTGTTTAGCACTGAGGAGCCCAGGGGAAGCCACTGTTAGTCAAAACGAAACTCCTGCTGGCTGGTGTTGAATCTGGAACCAGCAATTTGTCAGTGACAGGTAGAGATGCTCTTGGCTGTTTTAGTGATAATATTTCTTCTATCATAAGGACAGTAGTGGAACAGTTTTAATTGCTCTGATAAAAGGAGCCTTGTCTGGCCACAGGACAGCCTGATAAAGTCCAAATTTGAACTGCTAAGTGAAGCAAACATTAATAGCCATGATCATCTAAAAGTCTGCTGTTTACACATCAACTTGCAGCAAGTCCTATTCTCTCGGCACCCTTGTGTTCACTGACCAACGCTAACTCCTAGTTGATCTCAAATTCTCGTCCTTGTGTTCCAGTTTCTCTGATGCTTGTCCCTTCCAATCTTAAGCTGTTCCAACCCCATAACCACCTGCAATAGCTGATCCCAGTTCCATTTTCTAAAAAAAAAAAAAAAAAAAATTGTACGTCCCTAATTTTAACCTGACCATGTGACTGTTCCTTCAGTCACCTAGGCCCCAAGTTTTGGAATTTTCAACCTCACTTTCCTCCTTTAAAACCTATCTCTGACCAATATTTCGATCAGCTCACAAATGCTGCTTTGGGACATTTTATTTTATATCTTCAATATCAACAATGAGGGAGCCACCAATGTTTAACCATCAACCTTTTCGGTGAGTGAGCTGGGTTGAGACTGAATCCTCTGATAAGTGTCACACAATCTCTATGTCTGGCTCCTCACCGTCAGCAAGACTCCATTTAGGAGGGTGGTATTTTTTTTTTAAAAAAAGACTTGCATGGGTGGATCTAGGCACACCACAACTCCAATGCAACCAGGATAGAGCAGCTTGTGGATCTGTGTCCTGGACACAATGGCAAATACATGTCAATGTACAGGATGATGGAGCCACCTGCAATGGTCACAGATTGTTCCTCTACAAGGAAACTTGAATTATTAGATGAAGCCCAAACAGCTTATCCTCTGCCATTAAATACTCTTTATCAACAGCTTTGTAAAGTACAGGTTCACAGTCACTGATTTCTCCAAAGCATCTCAATTTACTCAGTTTCCCAAAATGTGTAATTTACATGTGCTTTCAACAGAGGGTACAGCTAGGCATTTGATTTAATGGTGATACTGCATTTAACACTTCACCCAACTTTGTGCTGAAATCACAAAACAAATTTGACTGAGGTGAGAAGTGACAGTTGAGAACAGCAAGCAAAGATTCAGTCTGAGGAGCTGAATGGGAAAAAATTAAGCTTAAGTTTTAGAGTATTTTGGGTTCCAAACTCTGATTAAAAGTTCTTATTCTTGTTTTAAAATCTCCATGATTTTACCCCTCCTCTCGCCTCACACCCAGCTCCTCACACATTCCCAATTTTAATCTCCCCACTACTAGCAGCCAGGTGTTCAGTTGCCTGGCTCAAAGGACAATTTCTCTCCACAAACCTCTGTCAGACTAACTTTCATTTTAAGTTATTTCTTAAGACCTAGGGTATAGGTCAAGCATTTTGCACACCTATCTGATAACATTCCTGTGAAGTACTTTGCATTGAACTGTAGTAAGAAAATTATTTTAATGAAGATCCATTTAACTGGCTTGAAAACATTTTAATGCTGATCAGTAATTTACAGGAATTTTATTGCAGTTTACTAGCACCTAGCATGAAGTCAGATTGGAGTACCATTAAAGGAATTCAAGAAAACTCTCAATAATAGAAATACATCTCTAGCTTTAAAAATATGACATAGACACACCGTCACTGGAGGTAGTTACTGTTGTGGCTGATTCAGTGGAGATATTTAAACATTGTAGATGTTCTTGAGAGTGCAACTTTCCCATTCTATCAGCTCAGTGCTATGGAACCATAGGCTAATCTCCTTCTTTGCCACTTCAACGGAGTCACTGGCATGGATGGCATTTCTGGGAGGAAGGACAACAGAATCAGGTTATTGCAAAGATTACTGCAGAGTAGCATGTTGAGTCTTACAGAAGCTGAAGTTTGAGGGGAAATTGGAGACAGATTCTGAAGCAGGTTTTTGGGGTTGGATTTACAGTCAGTCAGTCATAGTCATACAGCACAGAAACAGGCCCTTCAATTCAACCAGCACGTGCTGATCATAATCCCAAACTAAACTAGTCCCACCTGCCTGTGCTCTATACCTCTCTAAAACATTTCTCATTCATGTAATTAATTAGGCATCTTTTAAATGTTGTATACCAGCATCCACCACTTCCTCTAGAAGTTCTTTCCACACATTAACCACTGTCAAAATAAAAATACCCCCTCAGCCTTTCTTAAAATCTCTTCTCACTTAAAAAAAATTATGCCCAAGTCTTGAAATCCCTCATCCTAGGGAAAAGGCACCTGCCATTCACCTTATCTACACCAGTCACGATTTTATAAATCTCTAAAGGTCACCGCTCAGCCTCTCCTTATAACTCAAACCCTCCATCCCCAGCAACATCCTGGTAAATATCTTCCGAACCCTCTCCAGCTTATTAATATCCTTCCTGTAACAGGGTGACCAGAACTGTACACAGTACTCCAGAAGAGGCCTCACCAACATCCTGTATAACTCGAAGGTCTGAGCAACAAAGGCAAGTGTGCCAAGTCTTCTTAAACACCCTGTCTACCTGTGATGCAAACGTCAAAGAATTATTTACCTGAATGCCTAGAGCTCTCTGTTCTAAGACCCTACTTTTAATTGTATAAGTCTTGCCTTTGCTTGTTTTACCAAAATGCAGTACCTTGCATTTATCCAAATTAAACTCCATCTGCCACTCTTCAGCTCATTGACCCAACCGATCAAGATCTCTTTGTAATCTTTGATAACCTTCTTCATTGTCTACTATATCGATCTTGGTGTCATTCAAAAACTTACTAACCAGGCGTTTTATATTCTCATCTAAACAATTATAAAAATGACAAACAAAAGTGGGCCCAGTACCTATCCCTATGTAACACTGCAGGTAACAGACCTCCTGTCGGATTTCACTTTGTTCTAATTTAGATGATACTGTCTTCAGTACTGTACAGTCAAGGGGCTTCACCATTAAAGGGCAGCCATAGAGCACAGTTGGTATTTGCATTTCTCAGGTTGAATTTCTACTGTGAGTGTGATGCAATTGTCTGCCGTCTGCCATCCACCAACCATAACTTCCAACCAGAGACCCAAGAGCTAGTTTCAATTAAAAAGGAGGATACAGGATTGGAAGCTCAGTTGAGGGTCAAATACAAGATGGGTGTGTACAAATAGCTTTGTTCAACTAACATTTAAAAAAAAAAAATCACAAATTATTGGGACTCAAACGTGCCAACTCCCTCGTACCTGATGGGCTGCGCTTTTGGGACTATGGCCTTTATTGCTGGGAGCTTGGAGTTTAAAAATAAAGAAGTCTTGTTACAACTGTCAGGATGTTAGTCAGTCAATATCTGGAGTATTGTGTACAGTTTTGGTCCCCATTTCCACTAGTGGGAAATCTCAAATTAGGGGTCAGTTTAAAAGAAGACCACTCATTTAAACCTGAGAAGCAAATGAATTTCTTCTAAGTGTAGTGGAGGTTAGATCACAAAGCATTTAAAGAAGTTGAAGACAGATTTTTGAAATATTAGGAGATGACACAAGAGAAGTTGAGACCAGACGTGATCGTATATAACGTAGTTTTGAGGGGCTTAATGGCCTATGTTCTTATGCATTGGTTTTGATCTTCCAGAATGGCCCTATATAATAAATGTAATCCTGCTGTTCAGCAAAGGAAACCGGAAAATAGGAGTTAGTCAGATTGGTAGTAAAAAGAAAAGCTGGAATTTATTCATAAGAACCCTAACAGTATGCTTCTGAAATCACAATATTAGTTAGTCAACAATTGAAATGATGTCACATTTGACAAATTTATTAGGATTATGGGGATTTTGTTGGAAGCATAAAGGAAGATTTGGTATCTTTAGATTTTTTTTTAAAATAAAGTGCCGCACAATATGTATTACACAAGATAAGGGTTCGTGGGACGGAAGTAATATATTAGCATAGACAATTGGAGGCAGACAAAATGCAATTAAAGATAAATGGATCATTTTTCTGGATATTATGCTGTAACTATTTTATCAATACTTCTCCCGCAGGTTACATTTGATACTGGGGGCTATTATGGTGCAGTGGTACCTCTTGAACCAGGAGGCCTGGGTTCACATCCCACGTGTGTAATAACATCTCTGAACACGTTGGTTTGAAAACAGTGTCTTTTTTAACAACTGACATCAATCACTAAGATGACGGGATAAAGTAAATTGTACCCAAGTTTTCTGAAGATGCAAGGTGGGAGAAGGACACAGGTGGCTGTGAAGGGAATTATAGACAAGCTAAGTGATTGGGTAAATGGTTGAAAATGGAATTCATTTTCGGGTAATTATGAAATTCACTTGGGTATGAATAATGGAGAAAATTAAATCATTTTTGAATATAACTAATAAATGGTTGAATTCAGAAGGATTTGAGGCCCTTGAAAATGAACCACAGAAAATTAACAAGCAGGTACAGCAAGGAGTTAGATGGCAAACAATTTACGTTTTGTTGCAAAGGTTAGGAAAAGGAACTCTTCCTGCAATTTTGGTCACCTCGCCACAAGATACATTAATCTTGGGAGAGGGGTGAATATGAGCAGATTAATTCTTGGGATGAGAGGGCTATCCTGAAGAGAGATTGAGCAGAATAAACCTGTAATCTTGAATTTAGGAAGTTAAGAAAATGAAGTTTTTAAAACTCAAAACTTGACAGAAGTTTTCTTTAATAGGACACGAGTATTGTCAGTAAGGCCAATATCTGACATCTGTTCTTGTTTGCTCTTGGAGAAGTTGGAGAGCTGGTGCCTTGAATACAATTAAGTGATCAAGTCTCTCAACAGTATTGCTCAGGTCACATATGTCACAGTTTAAAAGGTAGCAAATTTCATTCATTTACAAGAGCATTTAGTGAAGCAGCTGGAGTTTTATAACAATTCAGAATCTTATGATCATCATTATTGATGCTGGTTTTGTTCCTTAAATCTGGAATAAAAATTTAAATTGCACATTTGAAAAGATGGGATATGAACTCCTGTCTCTGACTCACTCATTTGGTCATCGAGGACAGTCAAGAGTCATCCACTTTGCTGGTCTGGAGTTGCATGTAGAACAGTCTAGATAAGCACAGCAGATTTCCTTCTCTAAAGGAAATTAGTGAACCAGATTTTATTTTTAAAACAACAATCAACAGTGAGTAAGTAGTAACCATTAGTTCAGCCTTTATTCTATATCATTAGATTAAAACGTCACCACCTGTCAAGGTGGGATTTGATCTCATTAGCCTGGGGTTCTGGAATACTAGTCCAGTAACATAACCACCATGCTATTCTAGCTGTGGACAGAACATCACTGGGCAATTTTCCACTTTGGCATCCACTCAATGTTATAAAAACAAATCACTGGAAATACTCAGCAACTCTGGCAGCATATCGAAAACATGGATGTTCAAAATGTTGCTAATTGTTTATCACTTTCATCAGTGGTGGAGGCAGGACTGCAGAACTTCAAACCAATCTGCTGGTTGTGGGATTTTGTTTTTGTTCAGCATGCCCGTAGTTCTGTAATTTGTACCTTCAGCAACACACATTTACTAATGCCTGGTGCTGCACTTGGTCTTGCTTTCTACACTTCTCATTAAACCAAAAATTAAGTCATCTGGATTGATGGTAATGATTAGAGTGTGAGGAATGCTAGAATGGTGGAATACAATTCTGCTGCTGCTGCTGAGAGAGGCTGCTTTCCTTAGCTGGAAAGTTTAGTATTGGGGATCATAGTCTCAAAGCAAGGGTCAGTCATTTAGGAACGATGGAAGGAGAATTTTCAAAGATTAAGAATTCTGTACTCCAGAATGGTATAGATTGTCAATTACATTCAATAAAGACTGATTGTGTTTCCTTTAGTTTTTGGGCAGTGAGTAGAATTAGAGAGTTAACGATGATTATACTGAATGGTAGAGCAGGCTCAAAACTGCTATGTAGGTTCTGGCCACAGTGAGTGTGAATATTTTCCTCTATTCATTCACTTTTACCAAAACAGTTTTAAACAGAGGTTGTAGACTTGCTCGTTGAGCTGGTGGGTTTGGTTGCAAACATTTTGTCACCCTGCTAGGTGATGTGGATGGGGTTGCTGATTTGTAAGAGGCTTCACCGGAGGCGCACTGACGACGTTACCTAGCAAGGTGATGAAACGTTTGCAACCAAACACACCGGCTTGGTGAGTATGTCTACAACCTCATCCACACCCTGAGCTACAAATCTTCCCAAAAACTTCTAAGCTTTAAACAGATTTCAATACCAAAATCAGTTGAATACTTAATCTGTGTTCTTACTGCATGTCCCTAGCAGGAGATTTGTGGTGAGTGGGGTTTGCTGATTTTGTCTCCACAGGTGATCTAGCCAAGATTAAACTCTTACTTTCATCTCTGGTGCAACTAATTCAGTGGAAGATTTTCGTAGTAAGTTATTTTATCACATCTGACCCTACCTGCTTATGTGTACACATAAGTCTCCTCTCACGGTTCCTGGCTGAGCCAAGGCAGGATCAGTGTCACCCACCATCATACGGGATATACGCACTACATCATAACCCTCCCAAACCTGCAAGACAAAAACATCATTAAACTAGAGACAACAAGGCAGGAGGTTCAAGCTTCATTCACCATTTGCTTGTACAGCTGATATGATGCTTTAATGGCAAGGACCAGAAAGAAAGTGCAAGAGTTTAGAAAAAGATGGAAAAATGGGCAGGAATTACTCTACCACTTTCCACCAATTAGCAACAAACAAGACTCTTTGGATATCCAGTCAGAGGAGGGGGGAGATGATAGTGTACACGGTGGCATCCCCCTCACCTCTGCTGCCAAAGTTGGAAGAAGCTATCGAATGATCTTCAGTATAAATGTTCAAGTCCCAAAACAGCACCTTCCATATATTGTCCTTCTGCATTAGAATCTCAGATTCAGAAGTCAACTCCTTCAAAAAAGTTATACAACACTGCATTACCGTTTCTGGCCATTTCTTACCATAACAACAATGGGTCCCGAACTCATGTATTGGATCAATGCAGAATAGAAAGGCTTCTCCTGCAAATCATGATAATGCTTCAAAAGCACATCTCGAGTGGGCTGAAATAAAGTAATTGAATGTGTTAGTCAAGCTCACAGAGGCCCCAAGTATGTATTTTCTAACTTGATATTTTACAATTCCAGTGACTGAGCCTGTAAGCCCACCAGAACAAAATGTCATATATACACTAAAATAAAGCGGTACTGGAGTGAGGGGCTTGACCAGGGGCACTGGGAGAGCACCGTGTAGCCAGAGGCTGGCATTTGGACAAAATGTTAAACCAAAAGGATATAAAAGATCCCATAATCTGTCGGTGGTTCCTCCTGCAATCAATAACAAAAATAGATGGCTGTAATCTCAGATAAAGGCTGCAATTTAATTCTTTCATGGGCTGTGGACATTTCTAGCAAGACCATCTTTTATTGCTTGTCCCTAACTTTCATTGAGAAAGTGATAGTATGTTAGCCTCTTGGTAAACCCATGTACTTCAGGAAGAGTTTCTGACAACAGTGCATGAGTGAGGATATAGTTCCAATGTCCAGCTGGTACGTGGCCTGGAGGAGAATGTAACACATGATCCTGCTACCCTTGTCGTTCTATGTTAGTGGGCTTCAACTATTTTAAGTACACAATCACTCTGAATTTAAGTGCAACCCCGTATCTACTCTGAAGAAAATACAAAATAAACACATTTTAATGCTTATATATGTAAAACCATAACATAATATTGCATTTTATCCTTTACTCCTCAGAGAGTCAGTGTGACACTTATGACTACAACGAACTAGCAGATAATGTGATGTCTAGATTGTAGTGAAATTGCCAGTCATAAGGTCTGACAGATGGGTGTTTTGAGAGAGACAGGTCTAACACACTTGGACTTGATTATCTTCCTGGACCCCTCCGTCTCCATATCTGGCAACCACCTAGAAACCGATATCCATTTCAAGCCCACCGACTCCCAAAGCTACCTAGAATACACCTCCTCCCACCCACCTTCCTGCAAAAATGCCATCCCCTATTCCCAAGCCTCTGCCACATCTGCTTCCAGGATGAGGCATTCCACTCCCGTACATCTCAGATGTCCTTGTTTTCCCAAGGACCACAACTTCACCCCCTCAGTGGTCGAGAACGCCCTCGACCGTGTCTCCCGCATTTCCCGCAACTCATCCCTCACACCCCCTCCCCGCAATAACCACCAAAACAGAATCCCCCTCGTCCTCATGTACCACCCCACCAACCTCCGGATCCAACGCATCATCCTCCGACACTTCCGCCATCTGCAATCCGACCCCACCACCAAAGACATCTTTCCCTCCCCACCCTTATCTGCTTTCCGGAGGGACCATTCTCTCCGGGACTCCCTTGTCCGCTCCACACTCCCCTCCAGCCCCACCATACCCGGCACTTTTCCCTGCAACCGCAGGAAGTGCTACACCTCCCCCCTCACCCCAAGAAGACTTTCCACATCAAGCAGATGTTCACCTGCACATCTGCTAACATGGTATACTGTATCCGCTGTTCCCGTTGTGGCCTCCTCTACATCGGGGAAACCAGCAGAGGCTTGGGGGACCGCTTTGCAGAACCCCTACGCTCGGTTCGCACTAAACAACTGCACCTCCCAGTCGCGAACCATTTCAACTCCCCCTCCCATTCCTCAGACGACATGTCCATCCTGGGTCTCCTGCAGTGCCACAACGATGCCACCCGAAGGTTGCAGGAACAGCAACTCATATTCCGCTTGGGAACCCTGCAGCCCAATGGTATCAATGTGGACTTAAGCTTCAAAATCTCCCCTCCCCCTACTGCATCCCAAAACTAGCCCAGCTCGTCCCCGCCTTCCAAATCTGTCCTTCCTCCCACCTCAAGCCCCACCCCCATCTCCTATCTACTAACCTCATCCCACCCCCCTCGACCTGTTCCGTCCTCCCTGGACTGACCTATCTCCTCCCTACCTACACTCCCCTTTACTGGCTCCATCCCCACCTCTTTGACTTGTGTCTCCTCTCCATCCATCTTCTATCTGCCTCCCCCCCTCCCTATTTATTTCAGAACCCCCTTCCCCTCCCCCATTTCTGAAGGAGGGTCTAGGCCCGAAACATCAGCCTTCCTGCTCCTCTGATGTGGCTTGGCCTATGTTCATCCAGCTTTACACCTTGTTATCTCAGATTCTCTAGCATCTGCAGTTCCTACTATCTCAGGGCTAATCATTATTTTGTTTTGCCATCCTCTGAAAAAACACAAGAAAATATCCACAGATGGGGAAGTAATTAAAGGAGCAATGACTGGCCATTGACTCTCACTCTCTGAATAAAATAGCAATATATAAAAAACAAGTTGCAATCCAGAGCATCTGGCTGCTGTGGAAGTGCTGAGTGATATCTTGGCCGAAGGTGTCTTTCTAAAGACTGAATGCTTCTCCTTACAGTTTGGTTAATTCATCGGCATGATCAACAGCACAGCTGACTGATTTTGTGTACATTGGCACAGGGCTTTTAAGGATATAACATAAGAGGACCTTTGCACCCTTCTGCCCCTTAGAGAGAGAGAGAGAAAAAGGAGTGAGGAGATCTACAATGAATTAAAAGGTGCGCATTTGGGGAAAATTTTTTTCCCCCCCAAGAAACTGGTTTCTATCACAACTGATGCCCACCAGTCATGCTTTATTGCATTTGTAGAAATGGTCTAAATTTCCCCTCGTGTCAATTACCACCATACCAGAAAACATTACAAACTTTTCTCATGTAATGCAAATTAGGATCATAAACTCAATTTGAGCAAGAGCTCTTCAGCACTGCTTGTTTAAATCTTTACTTGAACACTTTTATGCAAAGCATGCTGTCCAAGGGAAAACCATTTTGTTTAGTGTATCATTGTGTGATGTTGTTCCCCTTTCTCACTCAGCAATATAACTTGGTGACATATACAAGACCAATGCTCTCATCTTTCACAGTTGTAAACAGAAATTCATTTTCCTACATGCAAGTTGTACATTTTTAGTTTCTTTTTAGATAGTCCAGGTTTATCACTCATCATTATTGCTTCACCTTAAGATCTGTAACATCACTCTGCCAAGGGTTATATTGGAAACAGGTCTCTGGATCCTCACCTCTAGAACATGCAGAATGTCGCTGCGTGCTTTAAAAGCACAGAGGCACAGAGGGTCACTTCTGTGGCTGCAATTTTTTTTTTTCCCAGGGCCCTTGGTTGGCTTGAGTTGCTTAGTTATTGTATTTGGGGCATGGCAGCATTCCTGTAATTTTTCTTTGTCTTGTAGAGATCTATTAGACAAGCAGCAAGGGAAAAAAAAAGATCTAGAGCAACCAGGCAGAAGAGTGGGACTAGCAGAGCTGCTCTTGGAGAATGTCTGCATGAACATGCACTGAAAAGGTTCCTATGTTCCAAATACTGTAAATATACTGGCTTCATCAGTTCCAAGGATATACATCTTATTGAAAAGATAGGCAGGTAGGCAGAGGGGGTGGGGTTCCCTGATGAGTAAGAAATGAAATTAAATCTAGTAAGAAACAAAGTAGGGTCAAATGGTGTAGAATCTGTGTGGGTAGAGTTGAGGAACCGCAGAGGTAAAAAACCACAGTTGGAGTTATGTACAGGCCTCTAAACAGTAGTCAGAAGCTGGGGCGCAAGATACACCACGAGATAGAAAAGGTGTGTAAGAAAGGCAAAGTTACGGTGATCATGGGGGATTTCAATATGCAGGTGGACTGGGAAATCACGTTGGTAGTGGATTGCACGAAAAAGGAATTTGTGGAATGTCTACAAGATGGCTTTTTGGAGCAGCTTGTGGATAAGCCCACTACGGAACAGGCAATACTGGATTTAGTGTTGTACAATGAGGCAGACTTGATAAGTGAGTTTAAGGTGAAGGAACCCTTAGGAGGCAGTGATCATAATATGAATGAATTTACTCTTTAATTTGAGAGGGAGAAGATAGAATCAGAGGTAAATGGTATTACAACTGAATAAAGGCAACTACAGAGGCATGGGGGAAGGAGCAGGGCAGAATTGACTGGGAGAGGAGCCTAGCAGGAAAGGCAGTGGAACAGTAATGGCAGGAGTTTCTAGGAGTAATTCAGGAGACAGCAAACATTCATCCCTAGGAAAAAGCAGCATGGTACTGGGATGATGAGGCAACCATGGCTGACTAGGGAAGTCCAGGAGAGCATAAAAGCAAAAGAGAAAGCATATAATGTGGCGAAGGGCAGTGGGAAACCAGAGGATTAGGAAGCTTACAAAGACCAACAGCGGGCAGCAAGAGAAATAAAGGAAGGAGAAGATTAAACATGAGGGTAAGCTAGCCAGTAATATAAAGGAGGACTGTAAGAGTTTCTTTAGATATATAAAGGGCAAGAAAGAGGCAGAAGTGCACATCGGACTGCTGGAAAATGACACTGGAGAGAGAGTAGTAGGGAATAAGGAAATGGCTGAATAATTACTTTGCATCAGTTTTCACAGTGGAAGACACGAGTAATATCCCAAACAATTTGAGAGTCGGGGCAGAACTATGTATGGTTGCCATCACCAAGGAGAAGGCGCTAGAAAAACTGAATGGCCTGAAGGTGGATACATCACCAGGACCAGATGGACTACACCTCAGAGTTCTTAAGGAGATAGCTGAAGAGATAGTGGTGATCTTTCAGGAATCGCTAGAGTCAGGGAGAGTCCCAGAGGACTGGAAAATTGCTAACATGATCTCCCATTCAAAAAGGGAATAAGGCAAAAGACCGAAAATCACAGGCCAATTAGCCTAACCTTGGTCGTGGGTAAGATTTTAGAGTCTATTGTGGAGGACAAGATTTCGGAATACTTGGAAGTGCCTGTTAATAGCATACATTTTCTCTAGCTGTGTGACCCCCAGAAGCAAATGTCATGCAGCAGCATGACAATGGAGTTGCATGTTGTAGGGGAATGCAGGCATGTGATGAGATTGCCTGTCAGACTCTGACAGTCAATCACCATCTACAAATTAGAGACCACTGTTCTAGGTTAAAGTGGTCATGGGCTTTGGAAGGAGCTGTTGAAGCAGTCTTGGTAAGTTCCTGCAGCACATCTTATATACGCACCTGATGCTGCCATTGTGCTTGCAGTGCAGACAATGAATGTTTACGTTGGAGCAGTACCCACAAGTGCACAGCTTTGTCCTGGATAGAGTTGAGCTGCACTCATTCGAACAACTAAAAAAAAAGAGTATTCTATCACACTCCTGACTTTTGTAGATGGTGGACAGGCTTTGAGGACTCAGGACAGGAATTACTCAGTACCTCTAATCTATTCTTGCAGTCACGGTATTTAAATGGCTTACATTTTCCATGTTGTTGGATAGATGTCGGGGTTGCAGCTGTAATGACAGTTTGGCTATGCCAGTCCAGAATGCAGGTTTTCAATGTTATTATAGTCAGACGTACAGCACGGAAACAGACACTTAGGTCCAACTCGTCCGTGCCGACCAGCTATCCTAAATTAATCTAGTCCCATTTGCCAGCATTTGGCCCATATCCCTCTAAACCCTGCCTATTCATATACCCATCCAGATGGCTTTTAAATGTTGTAATTGTACCCACCTCCACCACTTCCTCTGGCATTTCATTCCATACACCACCTCTGTGTGAATAAGTTGCCCCTTAGGTCCCTTTTAAATCTTTCCCCTCTCACCTTAAATCTATGCCCTCTAGTTTTGGACTCCACTATCCTGGGGAAAAGACCTTGGCTATTCACCCTGTCTATGTCCCTCATTTTATAAACCCCTATAAAAAGTCACCCCTCAGCCTCCACGCTCCAGGAAAGATAGCCCCAGCCTATTCAGCCTCTCCCTATAGCTCAAACCCTCCAACCCTGGCAACAGCCTTGTAAATCTTTTCTGAACCCTTTCAAGTATCACAACATCCTTCCTATCGCAGGGACACCAGAATTGAATGTTGTATTCTAATAGTGGCCTAACCAATATCCTGCACAGCCACAATGTGACCTCCCAACTCCTATAATCAATGCAATATTTTCAATGACCACAATTTCTGCAGTATCCAGTGCTTTCAGCTGTTTCTTGATACATGGAGTGAATTGACTTGGTAGTAAATTGGTATATATAACATGGAGGACTACAGGTGACAGACACAATGGATTGTCCATTTGGCACTTCTGGTTCAAAATGATTGCAATTACTTCCACCTTGCAATTTGCATCAATATGCTAGGCTTACCATCAGTGAAGATAAGAATATCAACGGAGCCTTCTGCTGCAGTTAGTTTAATTGCCCACCTCTATTCACAACATTACAGAGCTTTGACCTCATCCACTTGCATAGGACTGCTAGTTTGTCTATTTTTTGCTGCTTCAGCTATTTGGTTTACAATATTGTTCCATGTTAAAGCTCCACCAGTTCAACAACTCATTTTTAGGAATGCTTGGTGCTGCACCTTGCATGCTTCATCGAACTAGGGTTGATCCCTTGGCTTGATGATGATGGATGTGAAGGATATGCTGGGCCATGAGGTAACTGGTGTTGTTGAATTCAATTCTGCTGACAGTTCAGTGCTCCACCTGTTCGGAATCTATCCTATTTAACAAAGTGATAGTGTAATACAACATGATGCTCTGTATGAAAACAGGATCTTGTCTTCACAAATGATTCCTTCATCATTCCTACCTAATTATTATGGACAAATGCATCTACAACAGATATATTTGAGAGATCACAGTTCCATTGGATTTTACCTGTTTGTTCCCTCATCACCTGATACAGACCCTGTCTGGCACATACATCTTTAAGAACTCAGCCAGCTCAGTCAGAATTAGTGTTATGAGATATTGTTGGTGATGGACAGTGAGGTCGACACCAGAATTAGTGGCATAGTAGACAGTGAAGAAGGTTTTCTAAGATTACAAAGGGATCTTGATCAAATGGGCAGTGGGCTGAAAATGGCAGATGGATTCAATCTGGATAAATGCGAGGTATTGCATTTTGGTACAACAAACAAGGGTAGAGCTTATACAATTAATGGTAGTGCCTTGGGTAGTGTTGTAGAACAGAGGGACCTAGGGATGCAGGTACATAATTCTTTGAATTATGGTTTGTGTGTAGAATAAACTCTCTCAGGAAGTGGTGGATGCAGGTAAATTAAAATGTTTGAAAGACATTTGGATAGATACATGAATAGGAAAGGTTTGGAGGGATATAGGCCAGGAACAGGCAGGTAGGTCTAGTTTAGTTTGGATTATGTTTGGCATGGACTGATTGGACCGAAGAGTCTGTTTCAGTGCTGTATAACTCTATATGACCCCACTCAGAATACATTTTTGCTGTCACCATCTCCAACATGAAAAAGAGTACTGATTCAATAGCTTAGGAGCAGTGATAGATGATACCAGCAGAAAAACTTCCTTGTCAGGGTTTGACTTGATGTCATGGGACATAACGGGGTCTGGAGTCTATGCTGAGGACCCCATGACAACTCCATCCAGACTGTACACAACTATGCCACCAACTCTGGCAGACCTGGTCTATCAGTCGCACCTTACTGTACCTGCACAAGTTTCAGCCCCATAAGCTGGAATCCTCTCTTCTCAAAGCGTTGGATGATTTCTCCCACAAGCCGCCTCTGGACTCCATCTGGTTTCACAGCCACCAGCGTTTGCTCATGAATCGCAACAATCCCTGAATGAGGAGGAAGAAGATTAGAAGTTAGTGTGTTTATATCTAAGCCCAACCCACCTTCCCTTCCCTCTCTATCCACCACTCCATAAATCACCCCCCACAACACTTCCTCTCTCTTCCTCCCCAACCCCAATTCCCTCAACCACCTTGCCCTCCCTCTCCCCAAAAACACTCATTCTTAGGAGGGATGTATCCATACGACACAGGATGATCAACGAGAAGCGTGTTAGGTAAGAGTTTGGGGTATTTCATTATTTCATATTATTACATTCAAAAATCCCATTGGAATTCCTGTTGAGTGTTAGACATCATGGAACCAAAGCAGCCATGATCAAACAGAATGGTAGAGTAGTCTCATAGGCATGAATTGCTGCTTTTTGTATATTTATAGGCAATACACATTTTTAATAACAGCTTAAACAGTGAACCCCAAATGAACAAACATGGCTATTTTCAGTATGAAAATGTGTACATAATAAAGTCACAAAAGAAACAATACTGATGAGGCTGGTCAGTTCACTTTATAGCTCAAAATCTCAGGTACAAGCTTTGCTAGAAGAAGAAAAGTCCATTGTAAAAAGTGTGTTACAATGCTTTACAGAAATCCATCAGAACCCAACTGCCCTCGAATACCAAATTTGTCCATTGGAAAGCACTGACTAGCCCAGGTGTTCATATGGCAACACTGCTTTAACCACAGGAACTAATTTTATTTGAAGATCGCTTACAGAGTGTGAGTGCACTTTACATGCAGATGTTTAAACATTTGTCAGCAGTAAGGGGTTGAGGCAGTTTAAAAAAAAACTTGCTACTTTTCAAATTCACACTAACATTCGGAGGGGTTCAATTGCAAGAACAAAATATATTGTCCATTCAAGCAACCTTGAAGCGGTGGTTTCCTTCACAACTACATCTCTATTTGTCTATTTAGAAATCTGTCACAAACCGGTAAACTAGATTAAGTGCTGTGCAAATAGGGCAAGCAATTTATGCCAAGCCTCAATATGAGTTGCTTGTACTGAAGGGCAATTGATGTTATTTATTTAACAGGTTAGATGTGTTGGATACAAAGTCAGCTCTGATTTTTAGTGTAGATTAGACAGCTGATTTAAATGGCTAACAACAGCATTTAAAAAAATTAAGGCTCTTGTGGTGTGATGGTAATGTCCCTACCTTTGAATTAGGAAGCCTGGCTTCAAGTTCCACCTGCTCTAGTGGTGTATGATCTCATCCTTGAACAGGTCGAATTTAAGGAAAAAACTATAAAAAATAATTTTCCAAATGCAGGCTTCACTGACGATGACCAACATCTTACTGTCCACCCCTAGCTGCCCTTGAAAAGATGGTGGTGGCTATCTTGAACCACTGCAGTCTGTGGCGAAGGTGCTCCCACAGAGTTATCAGGCAGAGGTCCAGGATTTTGATCACATGATCACAAAGAAAGAAGGATAGTGTGCAACGTGGTGCAGCAGTGTGTCACACAACTGCGGTCTTGTCCTTAGGTGACAGAATGGGTTTGGGAGATTCTGCAAAAAAAAGTGTTTGTTCTGAAAGAGTGGTATTGATTTTAGAGATTCATGTTCCCCCTCTAGCCTGTTCCTCCATGAAGATTGTGACTAATCTGATTGAGGCATCAACTGCACACACTTGCCTACCTCTGATAACCATTGACTTCCACGTAGCTCATCAGGTTCGCCTGGAAGTCAATATGTGGGAGCTAAAAGCAGAAAGTAAACATGCGAATACGATAGAGAATGTTTATGATACTATTTAGCTGTAGTGTTTACTGCATTGTAACATAGGTTGAAAATTTGACTTGAAAGGAATTAAGTAAACCATAAAAGAGGCACAGTGAAGGGTGCTTTAAACTGGGCTTTTGTCTGTACATCACATCAATTCTAATCAATAAGTTGCAATAGACAAATACAAACAGAAGCTACCGTTCGGTATAACAGACTCCCCCAACCAGATCTAATGTAGTTGTTTTAGGTTGACAGTAATATTCTACAGCAGTCAGACAGACAATAATGTTAACACCACACCAAGTTTAATTAATCTCAAAAGGATATGATAGCTTAATGGGTCTATTCCAGTCAATTTTACTAGTCAATCTGGAAAGAGGAGTTCAAATCCCACTATGGAAATTTGAATTCAAAATTCAATTGAATGAATGAATTAGTGATATTGTCTGTGAAGCTGTTTTTTTAAAAACAGGTCTTGTTCTTCAGGGAAGGAAATCTGCTCTGTTTGCCCAAATCTGGATTGTGACTCCAGACCGACAGCAACGTGGTCAATTGCAAATGTCTCAAATTACTTAAACCACCTCAGCTGGAAGTTTACACTGCCACTGCCATAAATAAGGTGTGTATAAACTGCTAAACTTATCAGCCAATGTGAACAAAAACAGTTTGAGGATGATGGGGCTGCGATGATTCAATAGCTCAATCTGTTCAGAGGTGTTATTACACACCTTTGGAGCAGGTGGGACTTGAACTTGAGCCTCCTGACCCTATCTCTGAACCAGGAAACCTGGGTTCAAGTCTCACCTGCTCCAAAAGGTGTACATCATCATTTCTGGACAGATCAATTAAAAATATTTTTAGATTCATTTTGTTGCCAGTTGTACATTGCACGTGTTAACTTGACGTAGTTGACTTTGGAGACCTAAATTTTTGGCCCATCCTAATAAAGCTGAACAAATGTTGCAACCTCGTTTAAATAACCAGGATAATTGTTTTAACAAAACAAAGCCAGGAGACCTGGGTTCAAGTCCCACCTGCTCGAAAAGGTGTGTAATAATATCCCTGAACAGGTCGATTTAAAAAAAATCTTTAAAAAAATAATTTTCCAAATGCAGGCTTCACTGACAATGACCAGCATTTATTGCCCACCTCTCGTTGCCCTTGAAAAGATGGTGGTAGCCTTTCTTGAACTACTGGAGTTTTGTGTGGTGAAGGTGCTCCCACAGAGCTATTAGGCAGAGGTCCAGGATTTTGATCACACAGTCACAAAGAAACGACAGTGTGCGACTTGGAGCAGCGATGTCTCATGCACCAGCTGTCATTGTCCTTAGGTGACACAGAACTGCAGATCGGAAACAAAAAAACAAATGCTGGAGAAACTCAGGTCTGGCTGGCAGCATTTTTTGGGGGAGAGATCAGAATCCACGTTTTGAGCCCGGTGACTCTTTATCCGTTCTCCAACAATTTTTGTCCCTTGGCTATTTGTCCCCTAGTCCGGCCATGTAGGGAAATTATCAAGCGCTGGGGTCAACAGTACTTAACTCCAGTATCACCATTTTCCTCAAAGTAACCAGGTAAAACAGTTATAAATTAAACCAGGCTGTAGGGGCCACAATTCTTTTAAGTGCAGCTAAAGGAACAGTTTGTTTGTCTAACTAACTAAAGCATCCTGTCTCTATAAACAGCATACCTTTTTAAAGAAAATATTTTTCAATGGTATTCACAATAATGAATCAGTTGTATAAGCACATATGAAATCTATTTGATATTATTTTAATGAAATTAAAATTTAATTAAAAATACGTTCTGAAACGAAATCAAATTTATTTAAACACAAAGAACTTGTTGTCATTAGGTTCACGAGTTTTAAACAAGTTACAGTGGTCACATTCATGACGCTGTTAGAACTCGTGAGCTTTTGGGTCTGTTCTCACTGAGCAATTTGTCCAAAAACACACAGCCACTCTCTGGGCTATTCTCCCGTTAGCCAGGCCGGGCCCCTCTTTCAACTATAAATCAACTTAAAGACTTATTTTTATCAACTTTATGAACTCATTTCAATCACTCAAGTTCGCACGGAAAGGAATAACCTTATGCAGGAATCGTATCCTCGGAGCTGCCTCTCTACGAAACCAAGAAAAGCATTTCATTCCCAGTCTGCTGGGCTCAGAATAAATAAACCAAGAAACTGACTGGCAAGCCTAGGAACTGGCACTGAAACAGATGCAAAATAATAATCAAAAGATTCATTCTGTCACAGCAACCTTCATTCCAGCTACACAAGTTAAATTAACTAACGAACTAACTTACTAATTAGCAATAATTTGACCTCAGCATTACAATGAAGCGGTTTGCAGGGCCACAAGTTCTTTGTTTCCAAACTCGCCGCGTAAAGTTTGGCGCTGGCCCCGGTACCTACCCGCTGAGTAGAAACGGATTCCGGTCGCTGCCCAGGCCAGCCTGGGTGTCTCTACAGGAAAAAAGCCGGGAACTATCCCCACTTTTAGCCACCGACTCAGTCCCCGCATCATCACTCCTGTGGCCGGGGAGCTGCTTTCTCCGCCTCAGCCCCACGGCCCGGACCCGGAACCAGGGATCCATCAGTAACACGCCCCTCCGCCAAGCCCAGCCCAGCGCCAACAGCATTCGGAGTCTCCTACATCTTTAATTATTTACTAAACTTGTCCTGGAAAGATGGAGCAATCGCTGCTCGGCGAAAGGGAGGGTCAGTGCAGACGGACACTTAAAAAAGCACAACATTCTTCCTGAAGTACGATCATTGTACTTCCCTCACCCACCATAACAGTTTATGAAATCATTATCATGAAATATGCAACTTGGCTTCCATATTGATGATTATGGAATGACTGCACTTCAAAAGCGATTTTTTTGTTGCAAGTGCTTTGTTAAAGTAACGTAAACTTAAGGTAAGCCGATGCAATACACATCTTTCACATTTTAATCATTTCATCTGATACAACATTTAACCTATGTTCTTGAAATATAGATTAATTTTATTCAATTTATACTGTTCTGCTTGACAATCCAATTTTTTTGTTTTTGAGAATTCATTGTGTAGTGGTACTTTTATGACTTTTATTGTATTAACATGTTTTAGTAAATGACTATTTACAGATGGGATATGAAAGGATATTCTGCTACGATCTTACAGATACATGTCCCAGTTCCATATGATGTACTATCAGTATGACAAAACTTCCCTTTCACACAGACTTAGTAGTTATTTCCTAGAGTAAAAAGAGTAAAGGATTATTTAATAGTATAACTTAATAACGCCGCTTTGGTAGATAAATGAAAATACAGAACACAATGCAAAATGTGAATTATAGCCAAACATCAGCACACACGGCGAAGACTGTATAATAGATAGGTCAGAGAGCCGAGGGAGATGTAGTATAACGGGTTAAGTCTGACAGTATGAATTAGTAACAGATCAGTAAACATCACAGGAAGTGACGCAATGGCACGGATCATTCCCTCAGTCATGTGACAAGACAAATCTACCATACAATAAACGTTTGCCTTACCTCAGCAGACTCAATATTCTTTAGCAGCACAGCGAGACTAAGGTTATGCAAGAGTTCATACAGTAACTTGAGCAAGCCACAGAATGGTCAAGACTCCCTCTCCTTTCCCTAGAATTAGCAAGGCAAGATTGGTTTCACATTACGCAGCATGAAGTTTACATCACTTAAGCCATCTTGTCTTTTGAGCCCTAGCTCTAGACTGTCCATCTATTGCATTACCTGCAACATAAAGATATACCAATCTCATTCTCATGAAATGTAGCACTAGATTCACCAGGACAATTTGTTAGGATTGGCAGTCTTTCATCCAAATATCTAGGAGGAGACACTTGATTGGAATTGGTAGTAGAAATCTTGTGCCATCCCAGAATACTAAGTCTAGTTATAACAAATTATTGTTCTCAATTGAAATCAGTTAACTCTAACAGTTGCCATCCCTCCACAATTATTTTGGAGCCTTCAGGAACTAAAAAGATCAAGGCCTGGACTGAAGGACTCCAAGGATGTCAACCCAAAGATTAAAACCAGTGTGTAATTTTAACACACCTTGCACCTTTGTGTACGCAAATAGGGACCCTAGTATCATTTTGAAGCTTTTCATGTAAAACTGGAGTTAATCTGAAAGCAACGCACAACATGCATTATAACTAGGGGTCTTGGCTGGAAAAAATACATTCAGCACCAGAAAGGAAACAATGAAAATTTACCTGAATGTACAGCTTAGGTTCAAGAGTACTTGTTCTGGCACAACATTAACAGAATCCACCATTATGCTCTATGTTCACTTTTGCCAGCTTGAACTTACTCTAATCATTTGCTGTCCCCTTCACCCTTCTGGACACTCCCTTGCAGATTCCAGCCTTCTGACTTCCCCCTTCATATATTGGAGGTTACTACTGATGACCAAATATTTAAGCTTCTTCAATAACCTGAAGGTCAGTGGGTATCAGCATCTCTGGTCTTTATATTAAATGAAATCCAACGTTAGGTACATAAAACTTTCCATCACCAACGTATCTGCCTGTTTTTTCTTTGCAGTTCAACATCTGTTAGTCAAAATATGGGTAACATGTGGAAAGTCCTTTTGATTGGAAGGGAGAGGTAAAGCCTATTTCATGCATTTCTACTGAACACAACAGAAAGAGAGATTGAAATAAAAGTTACATTTAAGCATTGCTGCTTCTCCCGCACCCAAGTTACACATTTGCTGTAAACCGCAGGATGTAGAAATTCTGACTAAATGGGCTAAATATTTTCAACATGATGAGTCAACCCCAAGATGCAGAGAATCCTAAGTTTGTACAAACAATCTTTGTGAGACCGTACAGAGTGCGAGAGTCCTAAATCAGATTTTTAAACCATCGCTCTGCAATACGGACAGCCAATGTTGCTTCTGTACTTGTGCGCTTAAGTGATGGAGATTGAGACACTGATAATTCCCAAATGCCTGTTGAAGCCAAACACTTATTAGGATCATCATTTATTAAAAAAATCATATCTACACAAAAGTTGAACAATGGCAACTTATTAAAAGACTAAAGTTCTGCAATGGAATGTCACAAAATCAACCCAAACAGTAAAACCAGTGTGTAATTTTAATACACTTCGCATTGTAAGTGTTCAGGCACAATACAGAGTCTCATATGTACATCCAGAAACACTGACAGCCTTGGTGAAAGCTGGAACCTGTTTATAATTGCATCGGTGTCCACTTTTACACAAAGTATTACCATAATCCTAAAAAAATAAACAGAGTCCACTTTATACATGGTGCAAGCTGCATGAGGCAGCACCTGTCTTGCACATACTTGCAGTGACTGTACAAATACAGGCATTCTAAATACAACTGTAAACAGAGCTTCAAATTTCAACACACAAGCTGGTCAGCCACATTTTACAAAGGTGAGACCAACATTGCGACACCATGGTATCTGCACCACAGTTTGTACGCTGGGAGGAAACTCCTTTCAGGTACAGAGAAGATGTTTATAAATACCACAGTGGAGTTCAATCATGTTGTAGATGTAGCATGGGCAAAGGAACGTTATTGTTGGAGGCAGAGTATACTGGGGTCTATCCAAAAGATTTAAGAACAAGACTTATCGAAGGTGCCCTATAATGCAGGATCTCAGGCCCCAGCAACTGTAGACACAGGATTCCATGATGGTTTTAGTGGCTTTAGAGCCTGGACCACTAAATGAGGCCCAGGAAATACACAGCATTGGACCCCATCAAGGGAAGCTGAATTTCTCTACAGCACAAACACCTCACTGATAACCATTCCAGTTCCAGAATGCATGATCAAAGGTTGGCTTCATCTTCCATTAGCAACCAGAGAATCGTTTTTGCAGATTGCTGGGATGCTGTGCAAGAGTAGAGTTGTCAGCCCTCCGTGAAGGGTCAGAGAACAGTCGACATGCTGTGTCGGGTACACATTTAATAGCCGAAGATAGAACAGTGCTGACGTGGGTCATGGAGGAGCCTGTGCAGACCTTTGTGCTACCATCTTAGGAATAAAAGCAAAGGAGAAGGAAATGAGAAGTGAACCAAAAAGGGAGCAAATGGATTCATTAAAAAAAAAAGGCAAGATGCAAGGTTGTGCCAACACCTCATTGTATTATATAGGAACCAACAGGTCTGACAGAAGCTTTGGCAACAGCCATAAACCAAGAGGTCAAGTCCAATCAATAGTGGTACTGTACCACAAACATTAGACTTCCACTTATCTGCCTCTGACTTGGTGTACTTATGTCTCACATACTCAAGGCAAAAGATTAAAAAAGGCTCATTGCAAGCTCCTGAGAATCAAACAACTCAAAACAATTCTTTCCCAAATGAAAACAATGGCTCCTCTCCCAAGGACTCAGCAGCTTCAGATTATTGAATCAAACAGGAACACAGCACAATGCAGCTTGCTTGTGCCTATTTAGTGTGGAAGTGGTTTAGAAATGAGGGGTGCTGGTAATATTCAATGTCCTAGAAGTCAGGTACTATTTATAAAATGCAGTTCCACTCCTGAAAGTGTAGAACAAACTGGTAACCAGCATTTAAATAAGTCCATGCAGATGGGCCACATGTAATAAGGGGACCTTTCATTTGCTTACGTGATGCATCTCAACCATACAAGTCTTTGCAATTACCATTGGATGCTGTGCCAATTTAGTGCCAGGAGTAGGTCACTATGAAGCTCCCTTCATTAGTATTTGACGCTGCACAGTTTTAGATTAAAACTGTTAACCTCCCCTTAACCACCCACTTCTAGAGTGGATGTCCATTTTGATAATTTAGTTCACAGTTGAAAATATTTGGTTCCAGATTTTGTCAACCGCAATTACATTTAAACTGCCAAATAGATGTTTCAAATTTAGAGACAAAAAATAGTTTGTTAAAAAAAATTCTTTTGCACAAAGTTGTTTATTTTGTGGCTGAAAACAGAAGTTAAGTCAGTGCCCCATGAACAGGGCACAAAGTACTAGGTTTTGATGTTAGGGATGTACCACAGCCAAGGATCTGGGAAATATCTGGATCATCACAGGGAACCAAGTCTTCAAATATTATTGCTGCCTGAAGCCTCCTTGGCCTGAAGGAAAGTTGATGATTAAGTAACAGGGGCCTGCTATGAATTAATGACTATAGCAAAAAAAAAAAAGGGAAGGACAATGCTGAAAAGACCAATATCTTGTGGCGAATAACTGGGCTTTCATCATTAATTTAAGTCCTCACTGATTTTTAAAAAGCCACATTTTTTCAGGTTCCTAGAATCGCTGTACCTTCTTGTTAAACAACTTCTGAAAAAAGTTTGAATCTTCAAGTATAAAGCTTAATTCACCTATTTAACACATTTAGTCCAGGTGGCCCAATTTTAACAAAGTAGCAATATGAGCAGCTGACAGAAAACTGGTAAAGCTTCAGATAAGCATGAAGGCCTCACTCACACTGCAGAACCCAGCCTCTTCATGGCTCAGGATCTCTACATTTCAAAGTTCCTGACCTGTACCATCTTCATAGGTTGGAAATCCCAACTAAACTTTGGTCAGTCATGTGTCCACTCTAAACCTACCAGATTTGCAGGTCCTACCATTTGTACAGTAAATTGAATCACTGATGCCAGAAGCTTTCATCCCACCTACTCTCCCTGGTGGTCACTAATCCTCCTCACAAAACCAATTTTTCTTTTGCAGGCTCTGGCCATTCATTACCACCTTCTCCAGCAAAGCAGCAGAAAATGTGTTTGCACAGCAGATTGAGAGTTGAACAATAAAGAGGCTCAGAGTTAAAACATGTTGGGCCAGGACAAAGTGACCCGTGGACCAAGAAAGAAAATAAATTCTCCTTCTGTCACAGTCTAATTGGTAAAAGTTCACTTTACTGCAGTCACCACAATTCGGAGACAAACAGAGAATAAGTTAGATCCTAATAAAAAAACATGAATGCCAACAAAAACATTTGGTCTTTTATATTTACTGATCACACATCATCTAATTCGTTTCAATCCTGTATTCTGCACCACCTACAATTCTACATTCCACAGTCCACCTCAACATTTCCTCAGCAAACCAGAAGTGGACACATGACATACACAGGTGAATAAAAGTTGAACAGGACTGACTAATGAGAGAAAAGGATAAGAGAATTGTTACAAAGATGAGTGGAAGTCTAATGAAAATATAAAATAAATTTACTCAACTTAAAAACTTATTAAAAATAATCCAGCATACTTTTTTTGAGGGCAATTCAAAAGGATTGGAACACAGTTTATAACACAAGCACTTCTTCAATTAAGCATGTGCCATTGATATCACATTGGAATGATATGACCTAAAATTGAGAGTTCTCTGCCTGCGCAGAGTAGAAATGTTCAAGGCAAATCAAAGTAAATGAGGAAACAAAGTGCTGAACACAGTCGCACTGCCAGGGAGAGTCTCATTAATCCAAAGAAACAGCTGAGAGGACCACGTCGATGGGAAGGTGCGAACAATTGATGTCTATTCAGTGCAGGCTACATGATTGGTTTGCATCATGTCAATGTACTGAATACAACCATTATATTTCTCCAGGACAAAGACACAAAGTGCTGCAGCAGCGTACTGAGGGGTCCAGCTAGCAGGTCGCACTGGACAGCCTGGCAGGAGGGCAAGGATGAAGGCATCAGTCAGGGGGGCTATAGCTTGATTGTTCCAGGAGGTAAACTGCCATTACAAAGCCTGTAGTAACGCAGATCATTCACAAGTCTGTGTACACTCTGTGTAAACGAAGGCAAATCCTAGCATAAGTGGGAAGAGAAAGAGAGACACGTTAGTAAATGCTTTCTAACTAATACTTTCTGCAACAAAACAAATTTTCAATTTATATAGAGACAATGGATAGAACTGGATCTGCATTACACCTATAAGTGATGGCATTACTCATAATATTGGGTTTGACAGACAGTGGGCAGCAGATATTACTTCTATGTCATTCAATGCCCAAACAAAAACTCTGATGTTACAATAACTTCACCTGAATGGGCAGTGACTTTCTACAGGTACCACAAAGTCTGTTCAATGGATACAGCAAAAATTTCACTTTGCTAACATCCCAATGGCAATAATGAACAGACAGATCAGAAACACTAATCTGGGCAAAGAGAAAAACCAACTGCAGTGTGCTTTTTCACACCAAGGTTAGCCCCAATTTAAGTTCAAGTTAATTATACTTACAAAAAGCAGCTCCAAAATTTGAATACAAAATAAATTGAAAAGCAATAATGATATACAGGGACAGCCCAAGTAGATATGTCTAGAAAAGTCAGCTCATTAAGAACACAGGCAAATTGAAACCTTTGTTCTATATCTAAAAAGGTATTAAAATACAAAAAGTTGGACGTAATTTTGAGTTTGTAGCAATCCTTAAAAGGGCATGAGAATTGTATAGAATTGTGGGCCCTCGACCGTAGGAAGGAATGGGGAGCCACGGGTAAGTGCAACACGGAAGGATCAATAGTGATCAGCATTTACTTATGGAGACAATCAAGTTGATGGGATATTTCTCACTACAGTTGAGAAGTTCAAATGGTGTGCTAAGGAGGAAAGATCATGATAAGTGGGAGATTATAGACTCTGATCAGAGTAGACATTCAACATAAATAACATTAACTCCTTTGCAAACTAAATTTACACAGGTGCAGTTAAGATGTGTCATTCTCTGCTACAAAGTCTTGTAGAATCCATAAATATTTGAAAAAATTGGTTATAAATAAAAACCTGAGAAAAAGGGGTGATGAGTAATAAAGGTGAAAGTAGTGGTCCTGGGGGCTCTCAACGGGTTCAAAGAGCACAGGACAGTATGAACAAAGAACCAGAGATACCTAAACAGGAGACTGAAGAAGCTACAAAGTACATGCTAAACAGTGTAAATAATATACTAAAGAAATTAAGCAATCCAACAAAGATCAGACTTGCAGCTGTTACATCTGGACCCGAAATGTCAGCTTCCCTGCTCCTCTGATGCTGCTTGGCCTGTGTGTTCATCCAGCTCTACACCTTGTTGTCTCACATTCAGCCTTGAATGGTTGAGAACAATTAAACAATTAACACAAGGAGGGCTCACAAACATTCATATCCTTAACTACGGGAAAGCCCAGCATTTAAATGCAAATTTTAAAGATGACGCATTTGCAATATCTTCAGCCAAATGATCCATCTCCTCACCCTCCTGTCAATCCCTGTATTAGACAGCAAAATCAGATCACCTGAAACTCCTTGGCACAAAGTGGTCAGCCATTCCTGCTGACAGAAAAGGAAATCCAATAAAAAGATGCCAGTCCTAAGTTGAAGTTCTAGACTGGAAACTTCAAATAGCTGAACTCTCAAGCTTGTAATGAAATCATACCTGACAATGGAGTTAGAGTTAGACCACACTACAGTGCAAAATAAAGGGCAAGCCATCATTTGACAGAGATGTCTTTAAGCATGGCTAAACCTGAGACAAAGTTAAGAATGCCATTGAATGGACACAATGTGAAGCTGATACATCAAGTGGAAAACCATGATACAAAGTAACACAATGGGCACCACTAAGTTTGGCAACCATTCTGAAGCGCAAAAGAAAATCTTGGAACAGCTTGACAAGCAGGCCTTCTCTCTGGCAAGGAGGAAAACTCGAATGGGTTCCCATTCTAAGGGAGCAGCTCTTCTAATTTGGGACAAAGCAAAGAACGTTCCAATCTCTGGTCCAATGCTGCAAGAAAGTGGAACTGACCTGGAAAGGACGCAGGGCAACAAAGTTCACCTGCAGTGACTGAATGTCTGGACCAAGACAAGGCATTTCAGACTTCCATGCATTAAGTGGTTAAGATATGGCAGCTATGGATGCCAAGTGGTCTCACCCATGTCCTGAACAATTATGTGCCAAAAGACATTTTTAACATGGAAGAAGTCAGCTGATATAATATCTTTTAACAGATTGTTCTTGAAATGTTAAAAATGAAACCTGTAATGGTGGAAAGCAAAGCAAGACATGTCACTACAGTGATCTGCTGCGATGGTCAGTACCAATATGGATGGAGCCAAAAAAACTGCCTCGTCATAGGAAATCCCAAAAAGCTATATTGCTTAGAGAATGTCAAGCCTTTACCCATGTAGTAGGGGGCAATAAACTTCCTAATGACTTCACCATTTTTGAATTGTGAATCAGTAAAGTGGGCAAAATGCATAAAGAGGAGAAAGAAAGATCATTACAGACCACTATCCCGCACATCTGAAATCACTGGCCTGAAGTGTCAAGTTGATGTCCTTATCTCCCAACATCACGGCCAAGCTCTAGCCAATATATCTGGAGGTAATTAGGAACCTCAAAATCAACTACTGATAACTTTACCATTTCTGAAGAAGTGTTCAGACCCGAAACATCAGCTTTCCTGCTCCTCGGCCTGCTGTGTTCATCCAGCTCTACACCTTGTTATCTACTGATAATATCTGATCTCTCATGTTTGAGGCCATAGACGAAGCAGGACAACCTAAATGCTCTGAAGGCTACATTGGTGATGAAGGGAAAGTAGAAAGTGGAGATGGAAGCCACAGTCACCAACTGCTTTTGTCACCTTGGTTTCAAAAAAGCTACAGCTGTACAAGATGCCAATAACAAGGAACAGAGCATGGTCAACTAACCCAACAGCAAAGCTCTTCTCATTCACTTGCGGGAAGCTGTTGTGGAAAACGCAGAGCTATTGAAACTTCCAAGGTGGACTTCACCAAATGCTGCACAACACAACTGACAGATGAGGCAATCAAAAATGTAACACGTTCTTCAACTGAGGAGGCTGATAACCCTGAAGTATGCTGAATGCCTGACTGCATGCTCATCGGTTGAAACCACAAAAGACTGGAGATGCTCCAGAATTTCACAGTGCAGCATTAAATATGGAAAACACATTTGATTGTAGCGATCGGATAGGAGATTTTAGCATGCTTAACCAAAGGCAGCATGTCAAGCAGAAAAAGATCAGAATTTTGGGAGTAGATTTCCATGATTTTTCAGTGATCTTGTTGTACAAGATCAGGCTATTGCTGGATGTGAAGAACTTAAAAAAATAAATTTTCAACTATTTACTGCATTTGTTTTGTATTTTTGAGCATATTTGTAGGCAATAGCAGCTTACACAGATGCCTCTTTAGCTACCTCAAAGCTTCACATAACTCAAATGTTTGGGTGGGCCACCCTGCAATTTTACTTATCACAATCTTGTTGTAGATGTCAGTCTTCAGCTAATTCAATTCACTTCATATGATACCAATATCTGAATACACCGTATACAGCAAGGGCAGTGGGCCCTAAACACTATATCCCAGGTGTAGTGCTAAAGACTTGTACTCTAGAACTAGCTGCTAGCCTGGCTAAGCTTTTCCAGTGCAACTTCAATCCTAGCATTTACCTGGCAAAGTGAAAAATTTCCCTTGAAGTGCTACCCACAAAAATCTAGATCAATCCAGTTGGCCAATTACTACCCCATTAATCTACTTTTGATTATCAGCAAAATGATGGAAAGAATCAGTATTAAGCAGGTTTGCAGATACACAGTTTGGGTTTAGAGTTACTCTGTTCCAGGCCTCACTGCAGTCTTGCTCCGAAGGTGGACAAAATAGCTCAATTCCAGAGGTGAGTTGAGAGCCACCCCTCTTGACATTAATCCAGCATTTCAGAGATTGTAATATCAAGGAGCTCTAGGAAGACTGAAGTCCATGGGAACCATCTGAAACTTCATCCAGTGAAGAGTTTATACCTAGGGCAAAGGAAGACTGTGGTTGTTGGAAACCAACTATCTTGACTTCAGATGTAGCTGGAGTTCTTCAGGATATAGCCTGGGTCTAACCATCTTCAGTTACTTATCCTTCCCCGTTTGCTGACATTAGCACAATATTCAGTTCCATTTGCAATTCCTCAGATACTGAAATTGTGCCCACTTA